GGTTTTAGCCTTTATTTAAAAGAACTCACTGTTTCAGGCTCTTTGCAGTTTTCTGAGAGTTTGTTCCAGATTTGTGGTGCATAGAAGCTGAATGCTGCTTTTCCATCTTTGGTTCTGTGATGCAGAGAAGACTTGAGTGGCCTGGAAGGTTGTTGCAACAAATCTTTAATGTATTTTTTACTATTTCAGTTGGTAGGGTTTGTTGTTTGGAGTCAACATTCCCTGGTTTGGTTATTGTTTCTCTTGTATAACTCCATCGTTTACATGCTGCCTTCTTGATCTGCCATGCCTGCACTGCTCCAGCTGTCCTCCCCCGTGTGAAATCTAATTTCAGTAACACGATATGCCTGGACAAACCTACATCAGTGACTGCTGGCATACACACCCCAGGACCCTCTCAATCCCAGTCTCACCCTCCTAATAATTCATAAACCCCAGCCTCCTGTATCCAAACAAACATGGCTTATCCCGGCAGAAATCACAAGAGGTACTCCCATGTTTTCTGCACCTCTTCTTCCCAGGCCCATCTTGTTTTGAAGAGGTTTCCTGCCAAACCCACAAGATATGCCAGAACCTCATGATGGCATATCTACGGGGAGAGATGTTAACACCAGCTGCTTCTGCTCCTGATAATCACTTGCACTTGCAGTCCTCAACAATCACTTGCAAACCAGTGATGCTGTGGGTTCCTGGTGTCATCCTCTGTCTGCCATTGATGTTTACAAGTAATTAATTCTCAAGTCTCAAATGATTAAAATTTCCCGCTCTCTGCCTGGAACCCACACTTGCTGTGGATTACTTGCTCATTTATTAGTCATTCCTCGACCTAATTTAAGACATGGACATTTAACACTTTTACAGTTTTCTGAACATGGAAACTGAACTTGCAAAAAATGGCCTTGAATTGTGCTTACCGTATTTTCCAGACTATAAGTCACATTTATTTAAAAATCGTCAAATGTGAGAGAGACCTCACACATTTGACAATTGATGAAAGGTTCTGGTGACATTTAGTGTTCATTTGCTTTATAACAAACTCACAGAAACGGCCAACTTTGGCTTGAAAGTCTGCTGTCAGTTTCTGATGCACTGACTTTGCCAGGTTGCCAACAACTTGGCAACCACCAGAAAGTGGTAACTGTCTCTCAAGTCTCACAGAACATTATTCAAGCATCCAATTGTGGAATCATTCTTCCAGCTATCTTTACGCCTGTGATTAGCTTTCCTACCAGCTACAGAAGGCAGCAAAGTCAGTGCAAAATCAGCCAAAGTATGAAGAAAATTGCAGCTTTTATTCTGGAAAATTTGGTAATTACTTAAAAAAATATTTATGTGTGTCAACAAAGGCAGAAATATGTATTTATGTTCAAAGGAATCTTGGTCAAATATGTTCTTAATAAGTCAAACAGGAAATCCCATTTAATATGAAGAACCAAAAATGTCCTGATTTATGACTGTAGTTTAACAGCAAGAGGTTTATTTGTTGAGATTTTGGTAAGTTTATTTTGGTCATAAATGTCTGTGTGCTCATTATTCTAAAACTACAACTGTAAACAAGTTGTTATGAATGTTTAGTAGCTCGGGATCTTGAAATGTCCCTGGTTAAAAGGTCCAATGCACCTTTAACTGGAGAATCTGCTGTCAGAGGAGTGACCTGTGGCTTTCATTCTGTAAATCCTTGCTTAATGGCTCCGTTAAATAAAAACAGACAATATTGGAAGCTGCTGGGAACTCCTTTTTCATTACGCATTTTTCATTAAAATACATTACCGTGACTCAGAGGGGGTAATATTAATCAAATAATGGATTACTTTCACCTCTTATTAGACTTTTAACACTTTAAATTAAAAAAGGATTACTCATAAGACTCACTTCCCAATGCGACTCCAGGACAAGTCTTTCTATTTGTCACTTCAGTGCGATTAGATACTAATTAGCAACCTCAAGCCCAGTCCTGCTATCTGCCTAATCTCTCAAAAAGAAATTGTCCAGAATTATCACAATTTTCACCCTTTTCGACCCTCATTGCTTCCTGGCAGGTCCCCTTCTCAGTGCTCTGTTTATGCGTGTGTGTTCAGGTGACTCACGTCTTCTGGAAATGTTTCTGTCTGGCTTTAAAATTCCTCCTTTTTTTTTTTAACAAGTCTCCCCCTCGCTCTCATTCTTCTTTTACCCCCCTGATCCATTTCTCAAAGCCAGGACCTCAAAGCCAAGCCAGGTATGATTATATCTTGGTTGTTATTATTCTCAGAGGAACAACACTCGTCTTTACTCCAGACACTGTGTTGGAGTAAAGACGAGTGTTGTGAAGAAGAGGAGGTGGAGGGGGGGCATCTGGAGGAAAGACAGTGAGTCTGTGATCTGTTTATTTAGATCCTCATCCAGATTGCCTCATAGATAAGTGTTTGGTAATTTCTTCCATTTCACTGTCTCAATGATTCTTGCAGCATCGCCGTTTTTAAATGTTCTGCTTTGTGTTCCTCTCCTCCTGGGGTAAAATATTTGGGCTTTGATGCTTCTGTTTTCTCTCTTCATAGTGCTTCTCTCTCCTTCTAAATTACTTTATCTGGGACAGATTTTGTAAATACGGCAGTGGTTTTATTCATAATAAAAAAACAAAACAAAACACTGACGTTCTTAAGTAGAAAACATCTGATCCTAATTTTCAGTCAGAATCTTGAATGATTACAAGAAAATATGAAATTCTTATTTTTCCTCATTAATGTGAATGCGCTAACTAAATAATTGAAAACTGATCAATGGTTCTAAGATTCTGAACCATTTTGTATGAAACATCCTGGCTTTAAAGAGTTTACAGAGTTTACATTTTAAGATTATTCTCCAGCATTTATTGATATATCAATGTCATACCTTCACATTATGATTACACATTTCAGTGATACAAAAATAGTTGATAAATTATACAAACACTTTCATGTATGAATATGAATCTAGAACTTTGCAAAATTCCATTCCCCTTTTTGTTATCTTACAACCGCAACATTCTGCATTCTTTTTCTTTTCATTTTTGATCATAGCACAACACAAACCAGTGCATATTTGTATTTAAAATAAAAAATGTGTGAATTTTTTATTTGGTGGCGCAGTTGGTAGCACTGTTGCCTTGCATCAAGAAGGTTCTGGGTTTGATTCCTGGCCCAGGGTCTTTCTGCATGGAGTTTGCATGTTCTCCTTGTGCATGCTTGGGTTCTTTCCGGGTACTCCGGCTTACTCCCACAGTCCAAAAACATGACTGTTAGGTCAATTGGGCTCTCCAAATTCTCCCTAGGTGTGAGTGTGTGCATGGTTGTTTGTCCTGTCTGTTTTTGTGTTGCCCTGCGACAGGCTGGTGCCCCGGCCTCTCTCCCGGAACATAGCTGGAGATAGGCACCAGCAACTCCTGACCCCATTAGGGATGAGAAAATGGAGGGGTTGATTTTTATTCAGACCAGATAACCTCCATCCACACGTTTGCCTTGTCCCCTACATGGTAAAATGTGGTAAACTTCTTGCTGTCTTCTTGTAACTTACTGTATGTCCAACTAATTGTCCTGGTAGCAGGTTCTCCAACCTGAGCTATGAATTACTTTTTTGTAGGTTTCCACTTTATGTTAATGGATTGATAAGTAACCAATGTGATGTGTAGAGCTTTGGATACGTTTTTTTCGACATGCTTTCATTATTTTAGCTCATCTTCATTTAGGTAAATCACACCATATTAAAAGTAAAGCAAAACCAACTGAAGCAGATTTAGACTGTTTTCCTCCACTACGCTGGAACTAGAATAATAATATACCTAACCATGCAAGTTAATTATTTCTCCTCTTTGCGTTGATCCTACCATGGTGAAAATTTCCCTTTAAGATCTTTGCTACAAAAACAGAGAAAGAAAAAAGTGCAAAGTAAATAACATTTAGTTTGTAAAATGTTAATATAATTGAAGCTACTCTGCTTGAACTTGTCTTTACACCAATCATTTAAATGATTGTCAATGATCTTTAACAATTTAAGAACAACAAAGTGTAGTTGTTGATTTTCTCAAAAAAAGAAAAAAAAAATCCTATCACTTAATTTTCCTATAAGTAGCCTTCATGAAAGGTTGTGTTTTCATAAGAAGCAGGACCAATATTTTTGTTAGCTGTAACTGATTAAATTACTTCAAGGGTCGTTAAGTCCCATAATATGGGCTGGGTTTGTGATTTACTGGCTTTTTCTGCTGACACACTGGATGGGGCTAATTGGATTAACATGAGTAAAAGGAGCCTTTTAAGACGAAAGGCATTACTGTCAGCTCACTAAATCTTTCAGGCAGTTCCCAAAACAGCCTGAGAGAAAGCAAATTCTTGAGGTGCGAAGTTTACAAATTAAAGCATAATTTTAAAAGTTCAGAAAGATTACTGAACAAAGTGGCAGATTTGTGTCTTAGATGAGTTTGTGTTCAGTGGACTTCCATGCTGAGTTGTATTTAGGAAAGAAGGAAACAAAATTAGGTCTCATGTGGAAATTTGTTTTTTTCCTTCATTCTAGCAGTGAAAATCTGTTTGGATAATGTTCTGAGAACCAAACACATAGTTTCTTTGCTGTAGAGATCACAACAGAGACCAGCCTCTTACTATGCTTTCTGCCTTTAACAAAGAGTCCACTGTGTGAGAGTTCAGATCCCTCTGAGGATGCATATCAGAGCAAAGCAAGATCCTTTTAGGGAGAACCCAGCACACTGTCTTTTTCCACTTTATCAGTAAAGTTCAGAAACAGCCCCAAAAGCCAGATAAAGAGGAACAATCTACAACACAACACATCTATGTTTACACAATGATAGTCCCTTTGTTTTGCCTAGTTCTTGCTAAGGGGAGAAAATCCAAAGGTTTGATGTTGATGTCATGTATTTGTATTTGAAAAGAGATCATGATGTGCGCTATGGGTTCCACTGCTGTGAAAAGGAAACCTTGCTGTCTTTCTCATGGGAACCCTCTCTCTTTCTTATTTCCTCCTCTCACCAGGTTGAGCTGCATCTCAAGCCCATCCAGTCTGTGCGCCAGCACCAGAAGCGCTTGGTCTTTGTGCTTAACTCCCCCCAACCTGTGATATGGAATGTTAAGGCAGAGAACCTGGCTCTGCGCATCCATCATACCTTTCATGTGAGTCCAGCATCACTTAAAGCCTTTAAATCCCTTTTCCTCAAGCTTTGTGTTCATTTCCTCACAGTCTTCCCTTCCCAGTTGCCAATGTCTATGGCTAAAATATTTGAAGCATTGCAAATCTGCAGAGGAGCCTGGCCTGTGATGCGAAAATGACAGGCATATTTATTTGTTTTGGGGATTTACAGTTACAGTTCTTACAAATCATTTTGTAATTGTTTTTTGTCACAGTTAAAAAACAAATTTTAGTCAATCAGGTCTTTGTGTTAATGTTTTTCTACAATAGTTTTGGTCATTCTTTGATGCAGATGGTGTCCAGACTCTTTCTCATTTATGAATTATGAACACTGATTCTAAGTGAGGCAGATGTGGCCTGCAGTACTTTATATGTTCTTCTACATTCCTCTGTAGGCTCCTGGACCCGCTAATAATACACTCTTGAAGTAATTTTGGTTGGTCAGTCATGCCTTGAAAGTTTCATGTCTATTCAGTATTTTTTTTTTTTCATTTGTTAATAATGGCTCTTTCTGACCAGAAACATTATAGATGGCTTTGTGCTTGCATTTTTTATTCTTTCATGCACAACAAAAGAGCAAAAACACATAAAGTCTTCACTGCAGTAATACAAAGGCTACAAAATTAACTTAGCTGTAACTATTCAGTGAGATATGGGAGCTTGCGTTTATGAAAAAATACAAGTTTGATTGGCAAATTATTTCACAATAAAAGGGGAAAAATGTCTTGTTATAATTAAAATTATCTTTCAATTTAACTAGTATTTTTTCATCAATATTGTAGGAAAAGTAATTAAAACAAAAATTCCTGTAGTATAAGTATTATTGTTGCTGAAAATAATATCTTGCTGACAGGTTACTTATACTTATTTCAAGTGTACTAAGATATTTTCACCAGAAACTAGTCCAAAATGACTTAGGAAGCTTTTGCAATACAGTGTCATGTCATGTTCAAGTTATTTCTTATTGTGTAGCATCTGTTATTTTAGTGTCTAAATCTTTTTGTTGAGGAAGACGAAGATGTATCAGTCTTCAGCAAGATTTTCAGCCTCCTCAAATTGAACAATTGTTCAACTAGAACAATGAACATTGCTTCAACATTAAAAAAGGTACACATTAAGGCTATTTTTGATTTATATGAAAGACTATAAACACACTACTGTAATATTTTTATAAGAATTGCCTACACATGCTTGACTATATTGTGGAGGGTCATAATTACTCACACAGCATTAAGTATTTACAAGATCACCTTAATCTTTTTGAGGGTTCTACAAAGGTCAACAACTGATTGGCAGGCTGTAGTTTCTCTTTCTCTGCATTGAATCAATGTATTTGACATTATTTGGCACTAGGAGTGACCGCTTCTTAGAACAATTGGAAACAACGGTCAAAAATCTAAAAGGAGAGTTGTATATTCACACAAGTTGGGAAAGTCTTTTATAGCCATTTTAAACAGCAGTGAATTTAGATCATCAGTTCAAACAGCTTTACATAAATAGAAGTTCTTTTGATGTGTCACTATGTTGCCAACGTCTATATAAAGGCCAAAACTACCACCCTCAGCACCAATCCAGTACTCACCACAGCTCAAGCTTGCCATGAACTTTAAAGAGCTTGGAAACCAGTGTTCCTCTCTACTGAAAAGAAGTGATTCTTTGTATTTGCATGGAAATGGTTCCTACCAAGATAGAACCAAAGTCAACACTTTAAAGCTGAACTGAAATTTGCAACAACCCAATTGGAGAACCAAACTGATTTTGAGAGAAAAAAAAAGTCTGAGAAGATGAATGTTGGAGGTATGAAGGTAAGGTGTTGGTAGCATCATTCCGAGGGGTTGTTTTGCTGCAAGTAGCACTGATCCGTCCCTCAAATCGGAGCACATTGAGCATACTGTGAGGTAGTCTGCATGAGGAGGGCTGACTACTTCACTTCACATCATTGGCTCGACAGCCAAAACGTTTTGGATGATTGATTGTTCAGTTCCATTGACCTTAAGCACAGATCAAAACTGGTTTGGCAGCGATCAAAGCAGTATACTATTAGGAATGATCTCTTCAACACATTCACAGCTTGTGGGTTATGCTTGTATCCTCAGTCTGTTCCAGGAATAAAATCAATTTAAATGGGCGCCAATAATTCTGTCAAATATTCAGCCAGAATTATGGCTGGATACTGTTGATGGCTATGGAAAGTGTGCAGCTGATCTGCATCTTGCTAAGTAAGAAACAGTTGCTTATTGAGTAAATTATTCTACACTATATAAAGAATTTCAATAATTAAAATCCCAAAACGAATATGTTTATCATTCTGATGAGGAGTGGCAGTAAATGTTCTGGATTCATCTCTTGTTTTGTAGGAGTTTATTCTTTTTTTTTTTTTTTTTTCCCTTTTTTAAAATTTCTTTTCTATGTAGCTCAACAGTTATTAGAATCAGGGTATGATTGGTTGAGAAAAATGAGAATATTTAGTGAGGGATATTTTGGTTTAGCCAGAACCATTTTTGCTTCCCTGAGGGAGCCAGCAATATTTAGCAAAGGTACCAGGGGGCCTCTTTAGGAAATTTAATAGAAAACGGCCTAAAAATGGACTTCTTTAGTGCTCTTGTTGAAATCCTGTGTATCACACGAGAAGAATTGCAGCAAAATGCAAACCAGAAGCCGTTATTATGTTATATAAAAATCTTTTTCCTTTTTTTTTTTCCCCCTCCGTTTTTTGCCTTCCTGTGGTCTAAAGGCTTTTCTGTTTTGGCCTTCCCAGAAGCATTTGTATAGTTTTCAATTGCATCTTAACACCACGGCATTGTGGAGGAATGCAGCATCAGGTACACAAATGATTTCCACATGTGCTCAAGTGTTTCCTGCTTACTTCTCCAACGCAAAACATCCTGCTGTAAAAGCCAGCGCGACACGTACCGGCTGCAGAAACGGTGCAGTGCGCAGCGGCTCGCCTTCATTACGTTGAGAGCTGTGTTCTACCCACATACTTTGTGTGTCCCAGCCTATTTGACATTTAGAGGAGAGTATTAATAAGCCTCCACTAGGCCTTATGAAACTTTTTTCCACTTGTGTGACTGGGGCTGTCATTGCTTAGTAATATTAGTAATCTTCACCTCCACATTAAAGTGCTTCCTGCACAATAAGGTTTCTGTGTAGTAGCTATGATGTTTTTTTGGGGGTTTTTTTTGTACTGTATTTCATCTAATAAGCTATTTTAACAAAATCCTTTTCAGCAAATGGCTTTCGAAACAATATCTATGACAGCCTTAAACGCTGAGTGTCATATGCTTCTACGTTCTGTAACATAAATATTCTCGTGTCTAACTGAATGATGCATTCAATGCAGATGGATGTGCATTTGGCCTGGGAGTCTGTGGGGACCAGCAGGCCAGTGTCAAAATAAATGCCTCCACTTGTCAGTAGTGGCAGACAGAAAACAGCTGAGAAGCGTCATTAAAACATGCAGTGCAGACAGAGCTGCTGCTCTGTGTCTAACAGTGTTGAACATCATTCCCCAGTAAAGTCATCGCTTTTCACTTGTGGTTCTGCTCCAAGGGAGAAAAAGAGATGTACCTATATCTATGTTGCTACTATGCCTATGTCGGTCTGTTACAGAAGATGCTGATAAGCTACACTGACGTTTGTGATTGAACCATGACTTAATCTGAGAAAAGCTCTAGCGGTATGAATAGTTTTGCAGCGCACTGTATGTCTCTGTGTTGTAGGAATATATATCAGACATATCTGACAATCACAAGTATATTCACTCCGCAAAAACCGAAGTGTCAGCTTTCACTCTTAGTGTTTTCCACTGGTGTTCGTCAGATGCTCAAAAACCGGGTTGTTAAGTGTGGAAACTTAACAGTGGAGCGGGAGGCCCCTGCAGTCAGACAAAGCTGAGCTAATGGTTTTACTGACTCCACAGGCCCCCACTGAATTAGGTGTTAACTATTTCATGTTTGAGTGACAGCCCTGGAGCCTTCTGATATTAGAAGCTGCTGGTTTCTTTTCACCCACCTGACTTGCTTGCTGGAATATAACCCAGAGGAGTCCCAGGCACCGATCTGCTTCTCTGCTTCTTTCCACTGTGACACCTCCTTAACATGCCTCAAACTTGGAACACCTCGCAACACATTGTTGACGGAACAATCTGCTCTGCGCTTCACCAGTAATTTTAGAAACTAGAAGGCCAGTGCTTTGTTTCTCAGTTACACTCAATAAGCTCCTACATCAAATTTAAAGACTTAGACTTAAGTTGATCATTTCTGGGATGTCATAGCCATAAAAAAATGTTGCCCATCCCAATATGTTTTGCTGTGGAAAAAAATATTGTCCCAAATTGTCCTTGCATCTTGGGGGAGTTACGGTAAACTATTAAAACTTAAAGTGAAATTAAAAATTTTAAAAACTGAAACATTGAAAAACACAGTATTGTGTTTTTGAAACTCCAAAAGTTCTTTGTTTATCTTCTTTGTCTGATGGCACAGTGCAAAAATATTCATACTCCCCTGCATTTCTTTCTTTTTTTTTTTACTACAAAATCCTCAAAATAGTTGGGTGATTTTGTAGGCAATAACTTGAATTTATTGATTAAGCAGAAAAATTTAATCATCTGATTTTCAAGATTTAATGTTTGGAAAAATTGGGATTTTGCTTTCAACCAGTGCCATTTTTGAGCTTTCAAAGTTTAGAGTGATGTTAGCCCACCCATGAACTACCATATTGTTTGACAAGCATGTCATACAACTTTATTTATGTGTGTCAACTCACATAACGAACGATGGAAATAAAATCCAGTTTTTTAAGATTTTTTGGGTCATTTGTAAATAAAACCTTAAGAAAAAATGAGGGGAAAGAAATTGAATTTGGTGTGATGAAAAATCTGAGATTTTATTTTTAAGCCGTTTCACCCAGCCCTATGTTTTTGTATTCAGCCTGCTAAGTCAATAATTTGTAGAATAACCTTCTCAAATTTCTACTCCTACTT